GGAAAAAGCTGTATCAGATTGGTCAACAAAATGCTTTTGGACATTTTAAAAATGTTATTTTTAACGCATTGAGATTTACTTTTATACTTAGACTCTTTTCCTATGAATTTCATTTTCAAATTGTCAAAGTTTTTAGATATGTTAGGTTAATGTGAAATCAGAATTTACCTTATTTATGGTCCTGCTTTTATTGTGCACAATTCATCAGTGCATGCTTATTCAAAGAAACCCTATTTGTCTTCATTTCTCTTTTACATTTCTTCTTACATTTCTTTTACAATTTTTCAGTTCTCATCATTTACATTTAGATTACCTTTGCCATCATTCAACACTCACTAAAGTTAATCTTTAGAAACACAAATAATTAAATTAAACCGTTAAATATAATTCTTGAAAGACTTGTAGCATCTAACATGACTGATTTTAGTTTTTAGTGTATCTGAAATAGAAATGTATCTGTTCAAAAGTATTCTTTTAATCAATACTTTTATTTATTAAGGATGCCTTAAATTGATTAAGCATGACATTAAAATATATAATGTAAGAAAAGATACACAAAAATATGAAGCAGCACAACTGTTTTCAACATTGGTAATAAGAAATGTTTCTTCAGCATCAAATCAGCATATTAGAATGATTTCTGAAGATTGTAGTAATGGCTGCTGAAAATTCAGCTATCACAAGAATAAATTACATTTTAAAATATATCAAACCAGAACACAATTATTTTAAAGTGTATTATTGATCAAGTAAATTCAGGCTTGGAGACCATAAGATGCTTCTTTCAAAACCGTTTGAATGGTATTAAATTTAAATTCAAAATTAGCACGTTCTTTACATTTTACTTTTCACTTTTTTTCTCCATTAAGAAGAACAAAAACTCTCCCTGATAGTTCCCTTAAAGAAGCGCTGACAAAAGTCAGAGGATTCAATACAGATAACTCTTTAATAGAGACCCCATGAATGAAGAAGATATCAAATTTAGTTGTGAAACTACTCTGATTCTCCTGGAGGCAAACAGGGTTTGAGTTCACCGTACCTTGCCAGCTCAGGAACCCAGCTTGGCATGAGAGATGTTTTGTTTCCTGTCTTAGCAGCAAGGACAATTAAGCTTGTGCCAGCTTTGTTGGCAATATGAAATGAGATCCGTGCTGTTTTTCAACAGCGTAGTTGTACCAACCGTACAGATGTTAGAACTATGTGTTCTGACGTATTTATCTGTAAAATTGCATCTAAACAACTTACATGCATTTAGTAGGAACATGTCTATGCACAGGTCTCTGTAAAGTTAAACTATTGACTTTTTGCACTCATGTTGAGAGAAATATCTCTAATGATCCGACCTCCCACCCTCTGAATGCCACAATGGCTGTGAAGAAAGCTGCGAAGCTAACGAATTAAAACAACAAGCTTGCCACTTGTAATCCTACTATCTGCCCATGCTAGATTTATAGACACACAGGCTCTCATGGACCCCCTCGTGAGTGATAGTAATGATATATTGAGTGGTCTGAGTGCTTTGGACCCCCATCAGCCCCTTTATGTTCCCATCAACAAACCAAAGTCAACAGCCTGTCTTTCACAAGTACACCTGACCTATACCTTAACATGCTGTAATCCAAAACGGAAACAACAAGCTAAAGATTGGATTACCTGTCACCAAATATCAGATATGTCATTGTTTGATGTCACTCTGTATTATCACAGGATTTATGTCTGGAAGGTAAAGGCATATTTTTAGTGCATATGCACTTTTGTAAATACAACTATGGCTTGGTCTCCATGGTTATTAGAAATATGAGACACGGACGTTGCGTGTGGTGGGTTTCGAAGCTGTGAAAGTCTCAGCTTCTCCATAAACACCTTTCAGATCTCCCCAACCCTTCCGCTTTCTTCACTGTCCATGACTCATTCAGCCTCTATAAATATATACTCCGAGAGACAGACAGGTTCGTCAAGTAAGTGAAGAAGCTAAAAATATGTGATTCCTAAATGATGTCGCAAGTTTTTTCCGCAGTTTGTTACACAATGCTAAAGCAAACCTTTACAGATTTTAATGCGTTTTCTTTAAGAGGCTGCATTCAAATTAATGTACTTTCACGGTATGTACTTCACAAAGAAAGGAAAATTTTCATTTATTCACTCTCATGTTCTTTCAAACTTGTATGCATTTATTTCTCCTCTGAAACACAAAAGGAGATGTTTTGAAAGCGGTCCAATTGACATTGAACTAGGGTTAATATTGTTAGTTAGCTAAAACTATTTAAACAGTTTTGGTAATTCAGATAAAGCTGAAATAAAATAGAAATATTAGATGAAAAAGTTAAAACTAAACAAAAATGTATTAAAAACTTTTTAAAAATTTAAATGATGCATAGGCATCTAACTGAAATTATTTTTTAAGTTGAAAAGCTAAAATTACTTGAAATAAGTATTAAAACTGAAAAAAATTATTAAACTGAAATAATAATATTTTGGGGGAAAACATGATTAAAATTACTAAAATTTAAACAAAATTTAAGATGAAACCTTATTAAACTTTATTTTAAAAAATTAATAAAAACTTATAATAGTACATAAATAATACTAAAAATAACACTGCCTTAGACCCCCTTGACATTCATTGTATATCCTTTGTGCTCTACAGAAGAAAAAGTCATACATATTTGGAATGACATGGGGGTGAATAAATAATGACAGAACTTTCATTTTTGGGTGCAAGTTATCCCTTTGAATTGAGGAAGAAATTCCCGACTGTTGAAGAAGTGTGTTGTGTACTATAAATATATTTTTAGACCTACTTCATCCACCATGTTTGATTTGAACTGTGTATTTATTTTATTTTTTTTACCTTTAACATCCCCGGGTTGCATACTTCTGAATGTCAACAGATGCTCATTTAGCCGATACTGCTTTTTGCATACTTTCTAACAGAGATGTGTGCAAATTGGGACACAGGGCCATTATCAAAACCCTGCAGAATATTTCGAAAGAGACTTCCTGCTCAGGGCCAACCTGAAAAAGAACCCTTTATCGGAGTATATTGCAATATATCGAACAACAAAAAGTTGTTATCGTGACAGGCCTAATTGCTGCTGTACTAAGCTAACAAAAATGATTTTAATATCAAAGGACAGTATAACCACGGTCTGACTAGTCTAGACCTATAATAAAAGCCTAGAAAAGCCTGACCGTGCAGTGTAATTAAAGCAGCCAGGACTTTCTGCAAGTAGCCCATGCAGGGGTCTGGGTAACTCAATATGGAAAAGCTACACCCTTATCCAGCCCCACATGCATGCTGTGCCTCTTAATCATTTCTGATCATGAATCATATCTGCTCATGACAAGCTGTGCTTAAAGTAAAAATGACTTGTAGTTCCACTGCGGAGGAGAAGTATGAGGAAGCCTTCGAGGCACTTGCTACTGCACCGGAGGCGTCAGGTAGAGTTAGCGCCTGGATCCAGCCTTGTTGTGGGAGTTTCAGTTGGGATTTTCTTTCAGTCTAATTGCAGCTGGTTCAAATTCTGGCCTCAGCTGTGTGCTGAAATCTTCAGGGTTTGGGCATTTTATGGATTTTGTCAATTTGTGATTGTTGATTGTTGACAAACATGTCTTTTAGTTGGAGAATTTTCTGAAAACAGAAACCGTGCATTGTTTTTGCTTTTTGACTTGATAACCTTTATAAAAAGTACTGAGGTGGTACAGTGCTGGAAATTGTGTGGTACTTTGAAATATATTACACTACCGTTCAAAAGTTTGGGGTTGGTAAGGGTTTGTTTTTTTGCTTTTTATGGTTCTGAAAGAAGTTTCTTATGTTCACCAAGAATGCATTTATTTGATCACAAATACAGTACAAACTTTAATATTGTAAAATATTATTACATTTTAGAATGACTGCCTTCTGTTTTTATATATTTTAAAATGTCATTTAATTTTTGCTTAAATCATCATTACTCCAGTCTTCAGTGTCACAAGATCCTTCAGAAATCATTCCAATATCCAGATTTGCTGCTCAGTAAACATTTCTTATTATTATCAATGTTGAAAACAGCTGTGCTGCTGAATATTATATATGTTATATATTTTGTGGAAACAATGATATAGTTTTTTGGTGAATAGAAAGCATAAAAGAACATTATGAATGTCCTTGCTGAATAAAAATGTTAATTTCTTTTGTACCGGATGAATACCTTATTCATATACCATGCATTTACATGGTTCACTAAGGTACTTCAGTGAATACTGTTATACTGTTGTATTACCTTGGTACATGTGCAAAAATGTGGTAACCTTTTCACAAGTGAGTCTATCAGCAACTATGCCAAATAATTCTCTCAATTTAGAATTATCTTCCCTTTATATCAAGACATGTTTGCTGCTGACAGTTATTATACTGCCTTTGAAATACACAGGCTACAGAATCCAGAAGAATAATGGTTTAATATCCATTTATCTGGGCACTATAGTCTATAATAATGGCTGGAATTTGTCCGGAGTGAGTGTTTACTGTGTAGAATTGTGATAAATGGATGGGTTTTAGCAACTAGCGTGGTCATACCATTAATGCTTTCGTTGTGAAGGGTGCTGTAGTGCAAATTGAGAGCTCTGAATGACAAAGATAGGCAAAAGAGGCTTCGTCCAACACCACAGATGACAGGGACTCTGTGTGACTGACAGTGGGTGAACATTTCTCCACCGCAAGGGCTGGTGAACCCACGGCTAAATATGTGCATGCAATGCTTCCGCCTAATAATTAGACATCCGAATATAAAATTATCTATTCTTTGAAAACAGGCACATTGTTCCATTTAGCAGAAGCATAGTCAGGGGCTTTGTCATGAAAAATACCCCATTGATACAGCCGGAAAGTGGTTGTTCTAGGTTCAGTTTTTTTGTGCAACTCTCAGTTGTTTGTTTTACATCTTGAGTCCATTAACTGCTTGCTAATAAAGCTTGTGTTTGAGAAAGAGCTCAAACTGATTTACATATCGGTTTTGCAGGAGACAAAAGAGCTTGTGGCCATTAAGAAGTTCAAGGACAGCGAAGGTAAAAGACTGCTACAACCAAATGCTTGCTTTATTCATCCATGCAATTTACTGGTTGGAGACTTTAAATTGAACTACAATACTCTTGTGGTTACCATGACACAAATTATAATTCACATTATTTACTCCAAGGCTCTTTTTGGATAGCTATATGTGACCTTGGACCACAAAACCAGTCTTAAGTCGCTGAGGCATTGTATGGGTCAAAATTATTGATTTTTCTTTTATGCCAAAAATCATTAGGATATTAAGTAAAGATCATGTTCCATGAAAATATTTTGTAAATTTCCTACTGTAAATATATTAAAACTTCATTTTTGATTAGTAACATGCATTGCAAAGAACTTAATTTGGACAACTTTTAAAGGCGATTTTCTCAATATTTATTTATTTTTTGCAGATTTTCAAATAGTTATATCTCGGCCAAATATTGTCATATCCTAACAAACCATACATCAATGGAAAGCTTATTTATTCAGCTTTTTTCGAATTTCGAACAATTGACCCTTATGACTGGTTTTGTGGTCCAGGGTCACATATAAGCTTTACCCAATGATTGTAAAATGTTGAGCAGAATTACAAGAAGTTTGCTTTTTTTAAAAAGGGACATGTAAATACATGTTTAAACCTGACTTGTGTTATTTTTATTTTCTAACGATAAATATAAAAATTAAATGGACAAATGCCATCATGTTGATTAATGTGATGATAGATGGTTGATATCTTAGAGTTTCACAACAAAAAGACATGCGATTTGCATCCATAATACTTTAAAAGGTAATGGCACACCAAAGTGTACCTTGTTTGTGAGAAGTGCCTTTTATAATGTCATTTTACTTTGAGAGCTCCATAGCACATTTGTTTTACTCAAGAAAACAAAAGCCCCTTTTCAATCTTGCCTAACCCCCTGTGTGTTCCTGCAGAGAATGAGGAAGTTAAAGAAACGACGTTACGAGAGCTCAAGATGCTCCGTACGCTGAAGCAAGACAACATCGTAGAACTGAAAGAGGCTTTCCGTCGACGGGGAAAACTCTATCTAGTGTTTGAATATGTGGAGAAGGTCAGTGCAAAACACTTCTTTTATTTTCTTATTCACTTGTAGTGGTCTGAACTATAGTTCAGATGACATGTTGATAGTGTCTCAGATAGTGTTTTGCTGCATATTTCAGAATATGCTGGAGTTGTTGGAGGAATTGCCTAATGGTGCACCACCTGATAAAGTACGGAGCTACATCTTTCAGCTGATCAAAGCTATTCACTGGTGCCACAAAAATGAGATCGTTCACAGGGGTATGACCGTCTCTGTGTTCTTGATAGATTGCCTTCATTTATGTAATTTAATGTTTGTTTTTATTGTGTTTTGTGTCTGTGGTTTTTTTTTTTTGTATTTGAGTTGAATTCTGTAACTTTTTAAAAACTGAATATAATAGTATTTAAGGAAGTTGTGATTTAACGGTCATTAGGAATCAAATTTGATAAGATCTGTGATGTATTTTATCTATTTTAATGCCATTTTCAACATATTTTATTTATTGATGGTGTAATCTTTGTGTACAAAATGGAGTCTTCAACACAAATCGAGCTCACTAAGAAAATATCCATCCTTTTTATCTAATCTGCAGATATCAAGCCTGAAAATCTCCTCATCAGCTCCAATGATATCCTGAAGCTGTGTGATTTTGGTGAGCAAAGGCTTTCACTCGTCTGATTCAGGACCCTCCACCCCCATATTCACACTGATCTTGCTCACTTAATGCTTGGTCTCCTTTCCAGGCGTCATGAGTCCCGCAGTGACGTCTGAAAAAAAAAAAAAAGATCTGAAATTGGATTTGAGTGGAAGGGAATTAAAATGTTTTTGTCCAAATCACACAGTACTCGGAGGTTTGAGTGACCGAGCTTATTCTCTGGAATGCAAATTTTGAGTTGATTTTGTGTCATTCCAGATATATGATTTCATAGACTGAAATGAAAGACTGGGGAAATATCACAGAAAAGGACTGTGTTGGGGAGTAACTTACTCATAGTAGCAACTCTACTCTCTTTTTCATTATAGCATGACAGTACTTCATTGTTTTTAGTAACTATTTTTACAATAAGCAATGCAGTGCTGTGTGACAACCCAACATCGCTATTTTTAATGCTTGCACAACATTGTCTAATTCTGAAAAAACATTTCTACGTAGTTTTGTGTAGCATTATACAAAATCTAACTATGTATTTCTATATGATATTATTTTTGCATAGAATTACACATCATAATATATTGTTATATATTATTATATATTAAATGCTGCCATTCATCACAGTTTTTGACTGTTCAAGTTATGTTTTTCATGCTAGATAAATACTGATCTGGTTGCAGAAAAAAACAATTCTTACATCTTATCATTTATATTATATAATTTATAATTTATAAAAAAATATATGTAATGTGCACGTGTTAATTTATTTAATATACATTGTATTTTTAATTTATATATTTTAAAATAAATTAACACACTACACATATAACATTTTATAAATTAAGATTATATAACTAAATAAGATGATAGAATTGAAATGAACAATGATATAATTGTTTAAATAAACAGTATATAAACACATTACATATGTTTATAAATGATAAATTAATTATAATTGTAGATGATAAGATGATATAGAAATGAGCAATATAAACACATATAAATATTTGTTATAATATGTTATATGTTTACATCATAATCCCACTAAATAACCTTTCCAATAAATTGACCAGTAGCATATATATAGTAACTTTTTTCAAAAGAATAACTTGACTGTAATTTCAATTTTGAGTAGCTTGACAATTAGTTTCAAAGTAGCTTCCCCAACACTGGCTGGTAGTATTGTGACTCTGGAAGATACGGTCAAAACACAGGCTATGGTAACATATTGTGCTTCCCAGCCTCCAGGTTCTGCTCCTGATGAAATGTATATGTTCACTCAGGGTTAAATTTTGCCTCCACACTGAATGCCACGGAAATTGAGCATGACTCACTCCACAGGCTTCTCTCTAAGACTTTTATTTTTAGAGGGAAGAATATGACAAGATTAATTAAGATCTCTGAATGTTATGTGCAGTTTGCTCATCCCCGATACCCTATCTCTTTGCTCTTCTCCCTATGATCTTTCTAATCCCGTCTGGTCAACTCCACAGGCTTTGCCCGCAATCTCTCTGAAGGCAGCGATGCTAACTACACAGAATATGTGGCGACCAGGTGGTACCGCTCACCTGAACTGCTCCTTGGGTAAGTCCTCATATCTGTACTTCCTGTTTTGTTTTTCACAGTGATTTCTAGTATACTTTGTTTACAGAGACATGACAAAAAATTTCTTCAGTGAAGCCAAAAAGCATGAAAAATCAAACTCCCCTCAAGTAGAAGCACTTATATTCATTGAGGGCACATCCTTTTTAAAAATGCTGATTTGATATAGCCATTAGATGTGACATCAGGAGTGCGGTGCATGATTATTTGTCCTTGTCGCCATTGAAGCGTTATTTTCTAGTGTGTGCCACTAGACTAGATGAATGCAGTGGAACATTTTTTGAAACTCTCACCATTTAAATTCCACCCACACAAATATTCTCTCCCTCCCTCTTGCTGTGTGTTAGTGCAAAGATTTGTGTCTCAGTGTTATGTCTATCTATCTGCCTCTGTCTCTGCATGCATTTCTCTTCATCCCTCTTTCATTTTTAGTGGTGCTATTGTTCTCAGAGTTGGGATTTGAACAAAACCTTAACCCTAAGCATGTCACTCGTCCTGCACTGTTTGTGCTACAGACATGAATGGCGCTTCAAATCATGGTGCTTTGAAAAGTCTTTCTATTACTTTTCTAAGCAAACAGACTTGTGATTTCTGTCTTTCAGATGATAAACACAGGTGAAAAAATCCTTTTACTTTGAAGGGGCTATATTTAGGGCTACAGAAACATCCTAACTTAGAATCATGTTCTATCTTTTTAGTAACCATGGTAATTTTCACTTAGGAAATAGAACTTTTTAAAATTTTACAGGGATAGTTCACCCAAAAATGAAAATTCTGTCATCATTTGCTCACCCAGCCTGTATCTGTTGAGCACAAAAGTTATATTTTGAAGAATGCTGGTAACCAAACAGTTGACAGTAGCCATTGACTTTCATAGTATGGAAAAAAATTGATGGAAGGCTACCAGCAACTGTTTGGATGCCAACATTCTTCAAAATATCTTATTTTGTGTTCAGCAGAAGAAAGGAACTCATACAGGTTTGGAACAACCTGAGGATTTTACTATTTTACTGATCTGTTTATAATTTAACTGCGTGTACATTTAACATGTATTTAACTTCATTTATTTGAAATGCTAATTTTCTTTATGGAAATGGAGAACTCAGATGAAGGTCAATTCTTGACTTATATTTGTCTTCTGCTTGGCTCTCACAGAGCTCCATATGGGAAGGCGGTGGACATGTGGTCGGTGGGGTGTATTTTGGGAGAACTGAGTGATGGGCAGCCCCTGTTTCCGGGCGAGAGTGAAATCGACCAGCTCTTCACCATTCAGAAGGTGTTGGGCCCCTTACCACCAGAGCAGATGAAGTTGTTTTACAACAACCCTCGTTTCGCTGGACTAAGAGTAAGGACCTGTCTTCTTCTCTGTCTTGTTCTGTTCTGTGCTTTCCTCTCCTCTGCTCTCCTTTCCTATGGCACGGATCCCAGTATTCTGAATAAGTGGCTGTCTATGACTCATGTATCGCTATGTGCCAGTGTGAAACACAACTGGCTTTGCCTTGACAGGGCTGATCACAGTACATAATATTCACACACATACGCATACACTGACACATACAGTTGGACTCTTTTGGACACTCAAGTCACATTTTAAATGGTACTTTGTTTTTAGGGATGTCCCTATCAGGTTTTTTGTGCCCCCGATTTTAGTCGTTGAATATTAAGTATCTGCCGATACCAAGTTCCGATCCGATACTTGTATTTTCCTAGAGCTTGGTGCACATTTCAAGTATATTGAAGTTATTAAAATCAATCCAATGTATACGGGGATGTGCAGAGACTTTCTCAGGGGCAGGGGCACAGATGTAAAAAAAAAAAAAAAAAGGGACATCTATCATCATTAATATCCAATATAACAATTACTATATATACAACTACTATATACTGTATACTATATAATAAGATACACACTATCTCTTTATATATGCACACACTGTATAAAGACATTGGTAGATGTAAACTTGTAACAATGATAGACCTTGTAAACAGACTGTGTGGTCATAATTATTAATATGGGACTACTGATATAAACTTCTTGTATTTTATATGTACATTAAGCAGATTAATTGCAACATAAAATTGAGATAAGGTTAGAAAGCATGAAGTTTGCGAATGCCAGTTTATCAGTCAAGTCCAAAGCAAGACGCAACCCATAGCAATGCATTATGAAATTTGTTTTAATTGCTTTTGTCATTTTTTCAAATATTACTATTTAGGTTTAACTGAGTTTTTATTTCAGTTTCGGTTTTTATATATTTCTATTTAGTAATTCTAATGCTTTAGCCTATTGTAATGCTTTCACATCTTAATGCAATTAATCAGTCACAAGTATTCCATATTTGTTATGAATTATGCGATTGTTCCGCTTTATTCTTTAGTCCTCCCTCTTTATTTAATTTATATATGTGTGTGTTTTTGTTGCAGTTTCCTTCTGTAAGTCATCCTCAAACGCTTGATAGAAGGTACCTGGGCATCATCAATGGACTCATGTTGGATTTAATGAAGGTAAAACGGTCTGAAAAATTCTTTAGAGAACAGTATTCCCTTTTGAATTCCCGTAGTTATGATATATTTGCTGTTGATTTATTTTAAAATAAACTGCAGACGTCATATCACCCCCAAGTGCAAAGTGTTATTAAGAATGAGTTTTATTGTTCTAGTGTGGCATGACTCTCCTCATTCTCTTTTCACTGTATCAGAACCTGCTTTGCCTGAACCCCACCGAACGCTTTCTGACAGAACAGTGTCTGAACCACCCAGTGTTTCAAGGCCTTAGAGGGCCAGAGCGGCCAGCTGCCCCGTCGCCCACCGCACCTCGCTCCTCAAAGAGAAAACCATACCATGGAGACAACACCATACCCAGCCGGTCAGTAATAACTGCTTCTATGAACTAGTTAATGTGTGATTTCCAAGCCACTAGTGGCAGCAAATGGAGCTGCCAAAATGACATATGTTTTATATTCACTACTGCATGTTGGCTACGCCCCTGAATAAGCATTGTTCAAATAAACAGATAGTGCTGCACCATTGGTTGAGCCAGAATCTGACATGTTGAGCAATGTTTTAAAAGTGCCACAGGAAGTCTTTTTCAGGAAGTCAACCTGTCCTGAATAACCTACGCTGCCACTGAAATGTGAGAAAGTATGTTATAACATTATAACAAAATTACACTTCACCTTTCAGTGTGACTCATAAATAGAACACCTGGCTTTTTGTAAAATGTAAAGGTTTATGTGTACACAGTCAAAAGTATTCACTTAATTTGTTTCTTGTGTTCTTAAAAACTTTTCAAGCTCAAGGTTTGTTTAAAATTACATTAGTTTTAATTAGTTAAAATTAGTTTTCCAAGCTCAAGGTTGTTTTAAAGTAAACATATGACTTTGAAACATTACAGAAAAAAACACTTAATAACATTAGAATAACATTCAGTGTTATTTTAGTATTATTAATTTACTACTACAGTATTTATTCATATTTTATAATAGCTATGTTTTTATATGTTTAGTTTTCATTTAAATTGTAGTTTAAATTTGAGAAATTGCTTCAATTGAAATAAGTCATGCATTTTTTCTTATTTTTTTGTAATATTTCTATATATTTCTTAAATTCATTTTAGTTTTTAGTAAGTTTAAATGAATAGCTTACCCAAAAATGAAAATTCTCCAAACTCCAACCCTGCAAGACCTTCGTTCATCTTCAGAACACAAATTAAGATATTTTCGATGAAATCCGAGAGCCGTCTAACCCTCCATAGACAGCAATGCAACTACCGCGTTCAAGGCCCAGAGAGGTAGTAAGGACATTGTTAAAATAGGTCATGTAACATCAGTGGTTCAACCTTAATTTTATGAAGCTATGAGATTACTTTTTGTGCGCAAAGAAAACAAAAAATAACGACTTTAATCAACCATTTCTTCTCTTCTGTGTCAGTCTTCGATGCGCGTTCACGAGAGTACAAAGACTACCGTGACAGAATTTCCATTTTTGGGTGAACTATCCCATTCATTAATTTCAGTATTCATTATAAAACTTATCTTAGTCTGGTTAGTTGCAGTTAAGAGATACATGTCTAATTTTTGTTTAAGTATAATTTTTTTCTTCCAATCTTTACATGTTTTTTTCAGCCTTATTCAAATGATTTGTTTTAAAGAATAGTTTTAGTTTTAGTTAAAGGCACAATATGTAATTTTTTGCCACTAGAGGGCGCGTATTCAAAACAATACGGAGCTTTTATTATGCCACAGCGGAGCTTTTATTATGCCACAGTCGACCGCTTCCACTCCTTCCGGAAAGCAGCGGAAGTAAACAGCGCTGTTTTATCATACTAGATAAATTTGAACGTTCTGTTATAATGCTACTCTGTGCGGTCGTCACCTGTCTAATAAAATGCATAGCATATTAAAGCGTCTTTGGTGTTTCCATGTTTTCTACAAAACAAAACCGGAAATCGAGGGTGTGTGACGTCATTGGCAGGCGACACAATGACACTATAGACCCGGTCCATGTCACTAGTTAAAATAGCTTATTTCTCTGGATTTAAACATTCTTCGAAACATTTGGGATAATGTAAGTACAGCAAAATATATAAAACTGTTCTAGTGGTTTTTGGATATTTTAATAAAAAAATCTTACATATTGTGCCTTTAACAGTAACAACAGTGAACCAGGAAAAAATAGGAACCAAAATGATCAGAAATTACATTTTTAACTGAAAACTGGGAAGAAATATTGGAAGACAATGAATTTGCATGAATTTCTGAACAAAAGAAAATTTACAGTGTTATTTAAATGAATAGTACAAAACAGGTGTCCAGCATACATTGAAGGGAGCTCTTTCATTGCTGTTTTAAAATCACCCCAGGTTGCTCCTCTTTAAGTTGGTTCAAAAAATGTCCAGAATATAACCATTTTGTGTTTATCCCTGCAGGAGCCACGGCAGTAAGAGTTCAGGTCACCGGCACACTAACAGCAAGGACTGCTCTTCTCTACCACGCCATGAGGACCTCCACCGGAGCACCGACAGCTTCCTGAACGGCAGCAACATGCCGACCTCATCCACCCTGAGTCCCACACTACACCCCAAGAGCTACCAGGCCCAGACCCTGAGCCGCTCGGCCTCTAGCAGCAAAGACCTGGCCAACAACAACCTTCCCCACCTCCTCAGCCCCAAAGACGCAAAGGGAAAGACCGAATTTGATTTCAACCTGGGACCTAAAGCTGGAGGTGCCACTGTGGGAGGAGACACCTCTACCGGCAAGTACCTCAAGTCGTCCAAACAAGGCCGCCACTCGTCCTTCCTGGAAGGGAAGACCAGCACGCTGCAGTCTGGGGACAAACACAGTCGCCATAACTACATGGAGTCCTCGCACGGATCCATGCCTTCCACATCCTCCTCCAAAAGCTCCTCGTCCTTCCTCAGCCTGTCCAAGAGCCACGGAGCGCTGAACGATGCCAAGTCTGTGAGCAATCTGGCCGAGACACGACTCCACCTAGACGATCCCATGGTGGGATCAGGCTCGGGCTCCCGCTACTTCCCGTCCAGCTGTCTGGATCTAAACGCGGCTCCCGGGAGCCCCAGAGGCGAACGGCACGCTGGGACGGAGCGGCAGGGTCACAGCCCCAGCAGTCGGGGGAACGCGCGTCTAGAAGGGGGCACTCTGGATTCACGACGTTCTTCGGGTCGGAAAAAGACACCGGATGAACCGAAGGCTACAGACACACTGGACCCAAGCAGGGCTGCGGCAGCAGGGGGCGGCCACGCTCACAACCTGCCCTCCCCCCATGAATCCTATCCTTACGGTCTTGGCTACACCAGCCCATTTTCCTCGCAGCAGCGACCTCATCGCCACTCCATGTACGTGCGGAGAGAGCGACACCGGCCGCACGGCCAGGAGGCAAATTTGGTGGTTGGGCAGGGAGTGCCAACACGTGCCAGCAGCCTACAACTCCTCTCGCCGCAGCTCCAGCATCGCACACTCCCACGCCACAACACCAGTTCCTCTCGAGAAGAACTCCCGCAAGATCTGAGCAGGGTCAGTGACCTGCTCTCGTTTTATCTCCGTGTCCTGTAGCATATTACAGTAGGCGCTGATCTTGCTCATCTCCGTTGGTTCCCCTGATCAGCATTTGAATATTTCTATCCAAGCAAGGATGCCCTCTTATTCAACTGTTCGTCTTTGTCTGAATATTACAAGTTTTCTCTACTGTTTGCAAACAGGAATATTACAAATGATGCTTGTTCACCGTAATAATTTCAGGAGATTCGATTTGTGATGTGTTTGCATGCGTGTATGTGATCTAATTTATGATATGGCTCTGCTGCATCCTGCATTCATGCATTTTGTTTTGTTCTCTCTGATTATTACATGCACACCCCCAGTGTCTCCCAGTGTCTGCTTATTTTGCTGTGTGTTTATGTCTGCAGAATGACCAGTCTCCCAAAGAGAAGCCTCATTCTCGATGTGTGTATTTATATATACATAATAAATATACACAGTACACATATAGTATGAAAACATAAACTTTTATTTTGAATGCGATTAATCGCAATGAATCGTTTTGCAGCCCTAGTTCTCATGTATCCGCTAAATCCAAACCCATCAGACTGCCAAAAAAAGAAAGATGTGTGATTTGTCACTCCACAGAATGTGTTTCCACTGCTCCAGAGTCCAGTGGCAGCGTGCTTTACACCACTCCAGCCTGCGCTTGGCATTGCACTTGATGTGAGCCTTGAATGCAGCTGCTTGGCCATGAAACTCCCGCTGCATAGTTTTTTGCTGATATTAATGCCAATGGTAGGTTGGAGTTCTTCAGCTATGGAATTAGCAGAGTGTTGGCCACTTTTATGCACCATCCTCCTTAGCACTCGGTGACCCCGCTCTGTGACTTTACATGGTCTTCCACTTCATGACTGAGTTGCTGCTGTTTCTAAACGCTTCCACTTTCCAATAATTCCACTAACAGTGGAATATCTATAGCAGGGATGAAATTTCACAAACTGACTTATTGCAAAGCTGGAATCCTCTCACAATATTACAGTATCACATTTGAATTTACTGAGCTCTTCAGAATGACCCATTTTTTTCACAAATGTTTATAAATGCAGATTGATCTAACTGGTATGATTTAAACACCTGAATTCAATAATTAAGAGGCATGTCCCAATACTTTTGTCTCGGGGCGCTGCTATGGATTCTGGGCCCCCTCAGTAGAAATCACATTTGGGCCCCCCCTCCCTCGCCGGGTCCTTGGAATCGTCCTAACCTTCCCCCCACCCCGTTTCGGCACCCCTGCTTTTGTCCATATAGTGTACAATAACAAAAAAATGGTGAAATAAAAATATTTTTTAAAAATCAAAAATGTATATTGACTTTTAATTTAAAAAATTGTGTTTGAATTTTTACAGTAATGAGAATTTAGTCAGCAGATGTGCTAAGATAAAATCTTTTTATTTTATTTTATGACCAAAATGCTTTTTTTATGAGATTCAACTTTATAATAATTACTTTTGTAGGAATAATTCAGAGACCATGGTCATGAACCCACCAGAGGTCCCTAAACAAAAAGAAAAACAAGGTTTCTTTAGAGCCATAAAGAAGAAAAAGAAGAAGTCACAGCCGGTAAGAATGTCCTGTTCATTACTATTAATTCATTTACTCATTACATTTCCCGTTACTCTCAATAATGGTATTGAAATGCAGTAAGAATATAGTAATGCCTTAGCCAGGAGACAAATAGTTGTATCTCGGCCGAATATTGTTCTATCCTAACAAACCACACATCAATGGAAAGCTTATTTGTGACCCTGGACCACAAAACCAGTCTTAAGTCGCTGGGGTATATTTGTAGAAATTTTTTTGCACCCTCAGATTCCAGATTTTCAAATAGTTGTACCTCAGCCAAATATTGTCCTATCCTAACAAACCATACATCAATGGAAAGTTTATTTATTCAGCTTTCAGATTATGCATAAATCACAATTTCGAAAAATTGACCCTTATGACTGGTTTTGTGGTCCATGGTCACATTTGACATGTATGTATTATGTGTTGCTTAGCTGCTGTGTTGTGTCCTTGTATGTCTGTCTGCTAGTCATTGAACTTAAATTATATATTTTTACACAAAACAATAGTCTAGGATAGAAGAATACTGTCTCTCTTTTTCAATAAAATTGATAGGCGAGCTTTCACCTCATGGTGTCTATTCAGTCATCTCAATCAACATGTAGGTGACCAGTGCAAAAAGAAAGGTGAAATGGGCGTATCATCCCAAAAAGCAGGCTGTCCATTTGTACTTTTGTACGATTAGTGCCCGACAGAATTCAACAGAGACTCTCAGTGCAGTTCAGTGCCTTCAGTTGCATTTCCCCATAATAGCCATATGGAGACCATTACAGACCCGAGCAGCATGTGTGTGGCAAAATCTGCCTCTACTGTGCTCTGTCCACAAATATTGAGCCAGAGGACCGTATGTTCATCTGCTGTATTCAACAACAAAAGATGTTTGGTGTTAATAGAATGAGCCACTGGGGTTTTGTGCGTCTTATATTGCAGACGGACGGCAACGCAGGAAGGAACCCGAGCATCAAGAAAAGCCTTTTCCCCCTCTTTAACTCAAAGAATAGCTTAAAGCATAACTCTTCTGTCAAAGTGCTCCCTGTTGTCCCGCAGCCCATGGTATTGCTCGCATAAAACCGCACCGCTTTACCAAATAAACACATCTCCATTGCATGTCATGCTAAATGTATAGGTGTTCCATGACTGGATGTCTTTTTGTCATTTTTATATAGTTGTCGTTAGTGTTATTATTTGTATTTATTTTTTTGCCAGAGCCATTTTTCCAGATCTACGTTTAAACATTTTAATCAAATCAATCACTTGATATGCAAATTATTTTGTCAAATTAATTTAGTTTATTTAATTTGCTCAGAAATATAGAAATACAATATAGTATTGCAATATATATATTTCTAAATATATTATTATTATTATTATATATTTTAGTTCTTAGTTATTTATTTTTTTATTTATATTATATTATGCTGTATTTGCTAAGAAAAAATGCATGAATCATTTTACACATCAAAAAATATTATTATTAGATCATTAATTGGGTTGATGTGTAAATTAATATATAAAATTTTAATTTACAGCCAAAGTAAAACTCTTCTTAAACTGCTCTTTAAGCCGAATGCATCTTTGCACACAACACATTTTATTTATGATCTCAATTGCTGGTAGAACAAACAACAGAAACGTTGATAATGAATGACGAACCAAGATTAGGTATTTTTATATATACTGATGTAACAGATCTGGTTCTGTGTGATTTATGATTTACATCACTGTTTAGTTTACTGCCAGCATCGCAAAAGCATCAGCATGTGTTCTGTTAGATGCATGGACCCCATAACCGTCTTTAGCAGCACCTGCTCAAAGAGGATGCACGTTTTCTCATTTACCATTCTCTGAACCTGGGAAAGAGTAGGAGAAGTGGTCCAAATGTTTTCACACCCTCTGTCTTCTGTACACAAACTCTCACATTTTTTGGTACAAAAGGTCAGAAACTGGGCACGTCCTGAAACACTCGGCTCTTTATCTATCTTCAATAATTCGTCCTCTCCGGATACAGTTGCAAAAGTCATTGGAATGAAAAATAATGTTCTTTTTAGCAGCATCATATGACCCCTTTAAATGGTTTCCATCTTAAACAAATGCATGCCATGAACTGGTTAAAAGGGCAATATTTCTGCACGTTTCCAGTCTGCTGGCCTAATGCACGTGATTATGGGTGAACTTTTGTTTGGATGGGAGATTTATTGTACATAAATTCCAGTATTCAGTTGGTTTCACTGGTTTTGTGGTTTGATCTGTGTCAGGTTCCTAGTGAGGCCCAGCAAGACCAGCTAGTGATACAAAGACCAGTCAAATCCTCGTCTCATCACAGCAGTCGACACCGCAACCGAGATCGTGACCGGGAACGTGACCTGGAAAGGGACCGGGAGCGTGACCGCGATCGAAACCGCGAGAGGGATCGTGACCGGGACAACACTTGGCCGCCTGAAAAGCAGACAGATGTGCAGCCTCAGGTAAAAAAAAAAAAAACTTCAGATGAACTGATAGTAAAATCTCCTTGTTTGTTCCTATTAATTTTGAAGGTGTTATTTAATATAACTACATTAGCATCCACAAAAACGTTCTGTTTATGTCGGTGGCCATAGCCTTGTGGGTAGCGTGCTGACATATAACGCCGTTGTGCTTCGGACGTCCCGAGTTCGAGTCCCAGCTCACGGACCTTTCCCGATCCCATCCCCACTCTCTCTCCCTCATCAATTCCTGTCTAAAATACTGTCCTATCCTAAAAAAAAAAAAGGCAAAAAAACTGTTCTGTTTATTCTAAGCCCATGCTGCAGTTTTGTTGTCAGCTGCTTTAAATGCAGAGCTCTTTAAAGCAGGATGGATTCTGATTTGCTGTCAGTGATTTTATTATTTTATCTGGAAAAAAATTGTTTTGAAAGTGACTCCTGGACTAATTCTCACAGGATTAAGACGATTATTAAAACTTTATAGTTATCGTATTCTAGTTAGTATCTTTGGTGAGAATGGGCCTTTATGCTCACCAAGGCTGCCTTTATTTGATCAAAAATACAATCAATCCAGTAATATTGTGAAATATTTTTACAATTTTAAATAACTGTTTTCTATTTTAATCTATTTGAAAATGCAATTTATTCCTGTGATGCAAAGCCTAATTTTCAGCATTCATTACTCCAGTCTTAAGTGACACATGATTCTTCAGAAATCATACTAATATGCTGATTTGCTGCTCAAAAACATTTATTATTGTTATCAATGTTGAAAACAGTTGTGCTGCTTAATATTTGTGGAAACCATGATGTGATGTTTTTAGAAAGAGAACAGCATTTATTTGAAATGTAACTTTACTGTCACTTTTGATGCATTCAATGCATCCTGGCTGAATTTTCCTAAAAAAACAACCTTTTTATCTTATGATTGCACACAGACATGCATTATTAATCTTGCTTTCCTATTGCAGAACCAGCCTCTGAAGTCCCTGCGGAAGCTCCTACACCTCTCTTCTCCTGCTACGTCCAATCAGCCCCCACCTCCCGATCGCTCGGCAGAACTGCGCTTCCAGCCCCTCCCTAACCCCCCTTCCAAAGGAAACCTGAACGAGGCCAGAGGGCTCCCACCGGGCAGCGTCACCCCCAATACCAAGAGCCGCAAACCCCACAACTACCCTCTGCCAGGGCAGATCGAGTCCAGCTGGCATGTTTCCGCACTGAATCGGGCCGAGGGCGTGCCGTACCCAGACCAAATGGCAAACAAAGGTGGGCAGAACGGTATCGGCTTTACCAGAGCCGCCCGCGCAAGAATGCCGAACCTCAACGATTTGAAAGAAACGGCTCTTTAGAGGAGGAAGGCCCACTAGTGGCCTCTAATGTACTCGGTTTCTCCTTTTCCTTCCTGGCTACCTATGGAATGCTATTGTTCATACAGTGGTACACAATGCCACTTCTGGCCAGAAGGTGGCAATAGTTATGTCTCAGATTTGTTTTTTAAAGCATCCACATTTGATAGAATTTGTATTCTTGTTCATTACACCTGGGTTCAGTTTTCTGTTGAATATATCTTATTGACGATGATATGAATCTATGTATTTGTATATGGAAACTTAGGGATGGGGGACAACAAAAAAATCTGTGGAATTGTAAGAGCTTTAGTTTATACACAAGAGAATGTATAAATATTTAATGTGTAATAATTCTATATTTCATGGAGATTATTTAATGAATTATTGGTGTGTTAATAGTTACAATGTACAGAGTGCATTTTATGGTTGTAACAAAAGTACTTTATTGTTTCTGAATTATTTTCCTCTTTACCGAACATTGTTTTCTGATATGAATTCTCAGTGCAGACTATAGGTCAATATTCCACACTGTCTCATACCGCAGGTTATTAAATCAGTCGATTATTGAATCATCACTATTTAAAACATACGACAGCATATCAGCAACTACTGATGCTTCCTAACCAGGTTCTGTGTTACTTTTCATGCGAGACCATTAAATCCACGTCCCATGATGGCTATTTGTCTCACTTTACCCATAGCCCGTGTCTTACAGTGTTTCTCCACTTCCCATGAGCTTGGCATTCAAAACCTCACACATTGGGATCAGAGAGTGCTGGTTTTTAGCAGGAGATCATTAGAGCCCAGATCCCCGAAGAGCTGGATTTCCTGTGAATAATGAATTTCAACTGAGGCCCCCGGGGCCTCACCGTGTCTCCCTCTGCGATCTAAACCCCACCAGCTGGTGAATAAGTGTGACTTTGCCTGTGGCACAAGCGATGGCTTACAAGGTTGTGTGAGTTAAGTCTGTATCTCCATCCCGACGTGACTTTTGCACGTGCGCATGATTCTTTTAACAAACCGAATAACTGGCGGGTTTAGTTTAACAGCATGTTTTTGAAGAGATAAAAGCATTGTCTCGGGACCTGGTAAAAGGGTTTCAAAGACGTAATGCAGTTATTGATCTGTTAGCGGGGAAGTCAGGTGGGAGATGCAATGAGATTTTTGAGCGGCCTCTGAAATGCAGCACATTTTCATTCAGGCTTTCAGTGTTTGCTTTAGATTTATTCCATTGTTTCGTTAAATTCTATTCTACTAATATAGATTGAAATGAGATGGGTATAAAATATGCAAAATAGCTATATTAAGAGTTCCAGGCATTTGAATACCAATGCAAACAGAGCAATATATCATGACTTTGAGGTGAATTTATCATCCTTCATAGAGTTGCTTCGGAGTATTACATTTTTTATTCATCCACATATTCATCATCATGACAGGCACTTTGATTAACAACTGAAGTTTCTCACTAAATCCCTCCCCCCCAATGATAGTGACAGGGCATTTTCATTTTAATAACTCTAGTGAAATGTGTCCTTGAATATTTTTCGGGAAAAATTTTTTTTAATTTTTTTTATTAGTATTGTTTGTCAATGGTGCACTTTAAACAGACATTTCACAGGTGTTTGTGTTGATATGGTGTTTGATTAAAACAGAACTTTGTATCTATCTAATCTTCTACCTTACCTACCTACAGTATATGAGCTCTGTCTTTCACAGGACTGGATTTGAAACTTTTATGTTCAAGTTACACATTCAAATACAGTCTATACAGTATTTTTGACATTTACATCATGTTGTTTTTTTTTAATCTGTTCTCATTTCTATCTTTGATTCTGTTGTCTCAGCGCTATTTCAATGTGTTATGCATAATGAAGTTAATTTTCAGTAACATCTTGAACTATTTGTATTCCATACATCTTACTTCAAATATCTGACATCTGTTAAACGTTTTCTTGGTTAAACTGCCATGCAATAACAAACTGTTGATTTTTGTCTTGTAGGAAGAGATGAGAGTTTCGCAAAGTTTAAAAGTCTCTTTCTGGAACCTCTTGTTTCCTTGTTGCATATTTTCAGGTTAATATTAGTGACGTGAAACACTTTGTTCCTGAGTAATGTGGTCTGCCTGTTTGAAAGGCAGAGTATTACAATGTGATTCCATCACTCCTGGACTAACACCTTGTCCATAAACGCTCTGACATGCTTTAATCTGCAGTACATTGGCACAGTCTGTCTCTGCAGTGCCAGGTAATCCCCCCATCAGCCAGCTGTTAGGACTGCCAAGATAAATAGTTTGGCTGTGGCCAGCTGCGGTGAGGTCGTCTGTGAGTGGTAATCTATGAACAGCCTTGTTAACCTGCTACAAAACCTACATCTGCAGCATGTAGAATGTCGCCGATTCTGGTTTGCCAAGCCCTCTTCTTTTATTTTTAATGTTATGATTTTTTTCCTCATAAAAAAAACAACTGATGTGGAATCATGCTAACAAAAGATCAGAGAAAAATCTACCAGTTCCCCATCCCAGAGTACAAAATGAATTCGAAAGCTAGTTTTAAGCACTAAAATACAAACCTGACCTTCGAAGGGCTGCGTCTACCAACATTTGTCAAAATGAAGCCTGATAGTCGTGTAATATAGAGTGAATAGATAACACTGTTTTTAGAGTTTGGGGTCAGTCTGTTTTTTTGTTTTTGAAGAAGAAGGAATTCATATTTTATTTAGGATGCAATAAAATGATCAAAAGTGACAGTAAAGACATTTAAAAAAGACATTTTAAACATTGATAAAAAAATAATAATAATATATGTTTCCTGAGCACCAAATCAGTATATTAGAAAGATTTTCTGAAGGATATTGCGACAATTAAGACTGAAGTAATGACTGCTGAAAATTTTGCTTTATTATCACATGAACAAATTGCATTTTAAAATGTATAGAAAACAGTTGAAATTGTAATAATATTTTACAATATTACTGTTTTTACTGTATTTTTGAACAAATAAATGCAGCCTTGGTGAGCATAAGACCCTTCGTTCAAAAACCTTACCAACTCCAAACTTTTAAACGGTAATATAGCTGAATCTATTCTCTGTGTATATTCTCTCTTGAATACAGGATGATGTTGTAGCCATTTGGATTTTGATTTTAAAATGACACTGACAAATTGTGTCCCACTTTACTTCTGTTCACCGTATATATGGACTGAATGAGCTGCCTTAAATGCATGTTGAAGGATATTTTGAAGGTGATTTAGAGTGCTACTTGGTTCGTTGCCATATTGAAGTATACCTGCAGGTACTGACAACTCATCTGTCATGGTTTAAAAGCCATAGACAGCTTGTCTTATATTGGCTTGTAGCATCTATCATCCAAAGAGGATGCCTGTTAGCTTTCAAATGTCTGAGCTGTTGAATGCAGGGATATAAACATTCAGGTTCATCCCCAGAAGTGCACGGAATAGATGAAATATATTGGACATCTTCACTGATTCTCATATTTGTTCATTTTCTGTGGCGTGGCAATGACTAGAAGCTGTATCCTCTTAGAATGTAATGTTTAACTTTTTTTTTTTTCTTCTTTCAGTTTACCATTGGTCAAATGTTTATATATGCATAAGAATGTAAGTCTTTAGCTCAAATAAGGCCCAGTGGTCAGCTGCATCTTTCATGGTTATCAAAAAACAGGTCTCTCTTTTCTACTTTAGACATTTTATAATGTTTATTCCACCTTTAAGTATTGAAATTGCTGCCACTTTTTCGTCTAAAGCAGTTGACGTGCCAACTAAAGCCATTGTGAAGTCATGCAAGGCCAAAAGTTTACAATCTATCAGGAACAAGAGTTTATTCTGTCAGATGAGCATCTGTCCTATGAGTTCACAGACATATCTGATATTCTTTTTTTTTTTTGCGGACTTTTGAGTCTGTCATAGAATGTACTTAGAAAGACATGTTTTGTTTAAATGTTAAGACTGTTCCTATTAGATGTAGAACTGTTTGAATCCTGTTTGCTGAATTGAGAACATGATCCATCCCTAAATTGTGTCCTTACCCCTTCTGCTTGTCAGGATTGTTGTCAAAAATCCAACCGATCAGGATGTGACTTCCATTTAGACAACAGCCATCATTTTGGTTACATCTTTAAGTTCCACACAGAATCTGCACATTTCTTCACATTTTCCTCACATTTGTGACGCATTTTGGCTTTTAAATGTTGCTTTGAATTACCATTAAGAGTCTAGTATTCTTAGTTTTATTTAAAACACACTTTCATATTTATTTCCGCCCCAAAATCAGCACAGATAAAAGTGCAGATTCCGTCTGGGCCTTCATCTATCCAATTAATTGAGTCTGTAAACTGAAAGTTATTTGCTTATATAACTTTATTCACCAATGCACAAGATTGATCTCAAACGTAATCAGCACCACTCACTCAGCACTTTGTCTATGTCTTTTGTGAAGACTATTTGTCTGTATGTTCTCTTTAGGGTACAAGTGGGAAACAGCACCCTAACGTTTAATTTAAGTCCAGGCATGTCTGACTCCAACAGCATTTATAATGTATATTCTGCTGTAATTAATAACAATTAAAACAATGTCTACCCAACTATGTTCCAGCATGCATCATTTCATTGCAAACACCTGCCAAGATATAAAAACCCATGTCTTTGAGATCATTAATAAAAGAAAACAACGAAGACCTGTACATAACAAAAGGATAATTTATCATGAGCCACATTAGCAGCAACTACAGAAGAAAAATGAACAAAGAAACTTGTTTCTCCATCAAATGGCATATTGTATGTAGTGATTTGCATCAACAGATTGCTGGGGAAGTTGAATTGAGTTAATTGCATGCACTGAACCATTAACTGGGTCACAGAAGGTGACCACCCGGCTTTATAATTTGGGATCATTTGGCAATTTCTCTCTTTTTTTAACAGACAAGGGTCGGACTGGGATGTGAACAATTTCAAACTAGCTTTCAGCAGCAAAGGGAGGAGCTTTGAGATGAAGGGCATTAGATAAGGCCATTAGTGCTCTGTGGATTACAGTAATCCAGCCCCTTTAATATCAGTGCGGTGGTCCACCACTCGAAAAATAAACCATCATGGAGTACAGACTGCCGAACATGTTACTGTTAGCCATCCTGCTGATGTCTGAAGGTATGTGTCAATTTCACAATAGTAGCAGAAATTTTCAATTTAATCAGATTTATTTTGGATTTAATCAGATTTCATTCTTGATTAAAGACAAAGAAAAAATGTTAACGTCAAATAAAGATGATAGTGAATGTTAAATGTTAATAAAACATATCCCACCTGAATTACAATTTCTTGCTCTTTTACTCTTCCACATTTTGTCCAGGTTTTTTTGGGCTGCAAGCGCAAGAGGTAATTAAATGCATTTGATATTGATACCAGAGACAATTAAAAGTGAAATATTGATGACAATGTTCATATGTGCTTAGGATGGCGAGGGCAACGACACATGGGCTGGGAAAACCTGCAAGTGTGACTGTGATTCCTCTAGCAAGTTGCTTTCCAAAGGTTCTTCATCAAGTAGGGGACAGGAGATGGACTGCATTCCAGGTAAGAAAGAGAAAGAGACTTTAAGAAATATGGATTCAAAGAATCACATTGCTGGTTTTTTTTATTTTCTAAACTGTAATAAGCACTTATCGTAACCTGAATGTGAGGGTTTGTAGGCTTTGTCCTGGTTTGGACGAACTCCACTCTGCCACTATGAAGTATTTTGGTTCAAAATGTGTCAAACAAATATATAATGAATCAGCTTTCTTTTAGATAGTGTTGTTTTTATTGGCTTTATTGTGAATCAAATACCACTCAAATCCGTTTTGTCAGGAGAGCGAAATTTGTGAATGGGGCTTTGCGCTAACTTTGACTCTTTGGGAACTGAGATGGATGGATTTAGTTAGCGCTAGCTGGTGCCCTTTGGAAACAGAAGGCAGGACATGTGCGAATGAGCTGGCTCCCGGACAAGCCCTCGCCTGCAGTGGCACAGAAAGTCATTAATCATTTG